ATACACACATGCCATTCTTGGTCTGCCAGGTGTCTCTAGGCGACCGAAGGTACTCACTATAATACTTAGATGTCTCTTCACATGCAGAGACTCAACACAGTATTTAAGGGAAAGGCAATCCTCCCTTTCTGAGACTGTTAAGCGTTTTTTTCAAGTATTTAAAAAATATCTAAAGTTGGTTGAATCTGTGAATAGAGAGGAGGCAGCAGCTTGCCTGTATCTGATGGAGGAGGTGAATCCTGAGTGAGTGGGAAGTAGTTACAAGGGTAGACGGTGGTAGGTGGGTATTCACTCTATCAATGGAAATCTGGAACTGGGGGTGTATCTCAGTGGTAGAGCACTTGCCTGGCTTGTGTGAGGCCCTGGGTTCATCCGTAACAACACACACACACACACACACACACAGTCAAAGACAGACCAAGACAGACACACACACACATAGTCACACACACGTGCGCACACACACAACTGCTCACAAATAAACAGAAGGCCACCAGCAGGTAGATCACTGCCCAGCAAGAAGAGACAAGCCTCAGCTGTAGATTAGAGCTGTGCCCATGAGAAATGGCACCACTAAGGCAATGTTGCCATCCTCAGCTGTAAATGGCTTACACTGTTGGTTAACACACGCGTTAAAGTGCACACACCCAGTGCCTTCTACTGCAGCACTCCAACTAAGTTACATCCAGCAACCTGGACGCATCCCAGCACAGCACATCACACGGGAGGCCGGGAGGCCAGTCACAAAAGAATCCATGTAGGTTGATCCCCAGGGGAGTAAGAGGGAGGCTGCATCTGGGGAGAGGATGGGGAGCAGAGCTGCAGGAGGACAGGCACCCCATGCTTGACAGAATCTGTTCACGTCACAAGTGTCCTTAAAACAGTGTCTAGGTGTTTGGTGTGGCGTCCTAGACACAACATCTATATTTCCCCTTGTATTAAAAATGAAAAGGCTGTGTCAAACCAACAGGGAGCCACTCAGAGTTAGAATGACGACCCCAGAGTTCTAACTCCTCAGTTTTGCAGATGCAGAGTCAAGCACAGAGAGGTTAGAAGGCTGACCCAAGGTCACAGAGCATGTTCCTAATCAAACTAGGGCCAGAATCATGCAATGATTCACTGCCATCCTTCTGAAGGCGCTGGGCTAAGGGGCACTGCCTTTAAACCCGAGTCCCCTTCTTTTCCAGCAAAGGAAAAGAGCTAGTCATATAAGGAAGGCATATGAACACTGGGAATTCTACACATGTCCCAAATGGAAGTTTTAAAAAGATTTAAATACCTCCCCACCACACACACTCTGAGAGATGATGGAGGTGGTGATAAGGATGATGAGAATATCACAGAAAGTGACTCAAATCTCCCCCAGCTCCTGTCTAGACTCTATTTGGTACACAGCCTGGGAACCAGAGGGCTAAACAGGGGGTGGGGTGGAAGCCGGGCAGGGAGATGAAGGGTCAGGAGCCAGAAAGTCTGCTAATGTGTTGACTCACCCACCTGGCCTAGGTGAAGCCCCTGGCCCTGGGACAGTCAGGACAGGAACCTTTGCTGTCTCTCTGCGAGCTTCTCTGTTTTGTTTAGAGGTCAATTACTTCCCATTTCGGGGACTTGTGAACATTAGGAGTTGAGTGGAGTGACGGCTCTGAAGGATGCAGATAAGGCCAGGCTTGCTTACTGGACGCTCACTCCCCAGTAAAAGCCCCGTGAGGATAAGCACTCGCCAGCAAGGGACTCACAGAGCTAGCGGGCAGCTTTTAGCACCAGACTGATTACAGGGAAGATTGACAGCTGAGGGTTGGGGACTTCCAAGGTTGGGGTGTGGGAGGGTGGTTTTCACAGCAACCGTTAGGCTGTGGGGGAAAAGGGAGAAGAGCTTTCCTTGCTCTCCTTTTCTTAAGGAAGAAAGCTTTGGTGTTCAGAGAAACCCAGACTCCCTTACTGTCTTCAGAAAAAGGAGTTCCCTCTGGGATGGGTGTGAATCGGGTTCTGTCACTGGTATTGGTTTTATGTTGGAGGTGAGCCAAATAGGGGTATCACAACAATCTGGGAGGAGGGAGTGTGACAAAAGATGGTGGGCCACAAGGTTGGCATGGAATCTTCAGGATACTGTGCCTTCTGTGCCTTTCTCAAGCTTGGTTGTGACGTGGTCCCACGGTGCATGTTTGATAGAAAAGGGAGGCTACTCAGTGAATTGCGTACAACCCCCAAACTCCCTAGTGCATGCTTTGATGTGCAGCTCAGACCCCTGGAACAGGACCCCCACATCAAAACCTCTGTTTGTCTCTGCAGCAAAGGCCAGGACCTCTCCCGGAGAAAGAGTCCTTTCCACACTCAGCACCAAAGTCACCACCTCTTCCCCACAGCTTCCCCTCACCGCACAGCACCCCCAGGCTGGCTATTCTTTCCCGAGCTTTTGTCTGTCCTGAGTGACACACAGTACACACCACCTTCTATTTTCAGATACCTTTATCAAATTGCCTTTCCCTAGCTTAGTTAGATAATAAAGCCCTGAAGGATAGGGCGACAACCATATCTCATTTGCTCTTGTACCCCTACTGGGAAGGTGCAGCTGCGATGACCCAGCTCAGCAAACCTGCCCTGGCTTTCACTCAGAGAGCCCCCATCTTCTCGGTGGCTTTCTTCCAAAGCTTACCCACAGGTGGGAAGGTCTGGAGGTCTAACTTGGCTTAATCCAAATCACAGCACACTGCTGCATCTCTGATTTTCTAGGCTGGAAGGGCAGGATAGGGAATGGGGATAACATTAATTTGCTACTCTGTTCCAAAAATCTAGAACATGATACTCTATATATCTGGGGTGGGGCCTGTTCAAGGGAGCTTTTTCGGGGGACTACTTAGGAAAGCTTAGATAGGCTTCATTGGCAACATTGGACTGAAAGATGTCTATCCTGATTAGCTCCAGTGTCCAAATGCCCCCTTTTTGATGAGCACACCCTTCCAAGGGAGAGTTAGGAGACTTCCTCTGCTGATTCTCACAGGATAGGGAGTTTAGCTTGGAGTCTTTAGCTTAGTTTAGTTGAGGAAATGTCTTATTGGGATTTTCAAATCTGAAATATGTGTACTGCTTTTTGTAAAATTTTATTTTATTTAGACAGGGTCTCATGTTGCTGGAGCAGATCTATCCTGGTTTCATAGCCAAGGATAGCCCCGTTGCCTCTGCTTCCCCACCAGAGGGCTGGGATAACAAGCCTGTGCCACTGCAGTGACGGGGAATCCAGCTGAGGGTCTCCCACAGGCAAGATGAGCTTTCTGCCCTGTTGAGCTGCATCTCCAGCCATTATTCTGCACCTCTGTCTTTTATGTCCAGGGGTGCAACACTAGTTAGAGGACATCGGTGCACGTCTAAATAAACTTTTATTAACAGCAAAGAAACGTGAAGTAAGAGGAAAAGAACAAAAGACGCATGAGAAAGTGATCCTGGACCATAGAGATGGTTCTGCGCATCTAAAAGGGGCTGCCCCCAAGCCTGGGTTCCAGCCCCTCCCCCCCACACACACAGGGTAAAAGGAGAGAGAGTGGCTGTCTCCTTCACTCTGACCTCTGATTATCTACAGGCATCATGGCTTACAACTCTTCCCTCTCCCATGAATAAATGTAAAAAGGAGGAAGTGGTAGTAAATTTTAAATAGGAACTGTGACTTTGGTGCCCCAGCTTAGGCTTTTAACTCTTAAGGGATGTAAACGGCCAACATTTGAGCATCTTCCAAAGAAGATCAAACCCACTCCTTCCTCACTTTAATGGGAACAACCTGGGGGTTGCTGTCCAGGAAAAACTTCAGGGAGTCCCTTTTAACTAAATACAGAAACCTGTTCAATAATAGAATTTAGCTATTGATACCAATTGAGGGGGTACAGAATTGGGATTCTCATGAAGCTGACATCACATTTTTCTACTCAAGACCTTGCTCTATTTGTCCTATCAAAGCTAAATTCCTACTTGACTCCATGCTTCCATTAATAAATTGAGTTGATTTTCAGTCTTTAGGGTCTTAATGACTTAAGATTAGGGGGAGTGTAAAATTTTCATAATTTTGAAGACCCCCAAATTTCTACTGTCTTTTTAGATTTATCTTGGTTTGGAGCAGGACTGTTTTTCCTGACGGGGACTCTGAGTGTCCCCTAAGAGTATCTATAAACAGGAGAAAAAGTGCGGGGAGAAACCCGATAACCTACCTTCAGGGCTGAATCGGCTTTATCTCACTAGACTTATTTTATTTTACTTTGGATACAGGGTCTCCTTATGTAGCCCAGATTGGCCTCGAACTCCCCAATCCTCCCGCTTGGGTCTCCCGAGTGCTGGGATTACAGGTGTATGCCATCGCGCCCTCTGAGACCAACCCCTTGAGGGTCCTGGTGTCTGTAATTCGCAAACACACCGAATATAGTTAATTCATTTACTCGTCCGGCTGTTCCCTGTACAAAATGCAGTTACTGAGAGTGGATAGGACCCCTCTGCAAGTCTCTGCCAGGGAAAGTGCTAGAAGGTGACTGTTCTGGGAGGTCCAGGGTGGCACTTCAGGCTGGTGGTCTCCTGGTATCTTCAGCAGTTTGACATTTCTCTCTTCTCAACCTCGTATCCCTTCTGGCCGCGCACTGAGCACTTGTTCCTTTAGGGGATGGAGTGCAGAACGCCTTGATCCCCAGGCTTCCGGGATGCTTGTAATTGTTTAAAGCGGGTTGTGGCTCAGAATCACCTGCTTCCAAACTGTCAGCCACCAGACTATCCTCTGTGCACAGCATCTAGGTGGCCAGCCAAAGCCCGGTTACACCTCCGAGGGAAAGAATGTTCTCAGCGCCCGCTGCCCGCCGGGATTTGGGGGGATCTCCTCTGGGCAAGTCAGTCGCCAGATCAGTGAGGTGGGCAATGCGGGGAATCGCCGCTTTCCAGCCCCTTGGTGGCGGACGCTCAATTCTCTGGCGAGCAGCTGGAAGGGGAGGGGACCAGGCACCAGGCCCTTAACGGCAGTAGCTGAGCCCAGCTTTTCACCAGGCCGCGACTCTTTGTAGCGTGGCGGGCAGATGACCCTGCGGGGCAGAACTCGGGACACCTGGGCTGAAGCCAGAGCTGGCCAGTGGGGTGAGTGGCCCGGGACCGACGCCGGTGTAGCGGCCCGCGTAGCTAGCACTATAGGAAGGGCCGGAGTAGCCCCCAAAGCAAGAATGGGGCACGGTGGCCGCAAAGGGACCCGGGAACGCGGGGGCGTCGGGACCCTGGCAGGGCTTGCCATCCAGCACCAGTACCGGCACTGCCACCCGGCGCGGTGTTAGCGAGTGGCCCGTCAGTTCCAGGGTCTGGTCCTGGCGCTGCCTCTTGCACTTGTAGCGCCTGTTTTGGAACCAGATCTTGACCTGCGTAGAAGTGAGCTGCAGCGCGCTGGCTAGGTGCTCGCGCTCAGGCGCAGACAGGTACCGCTGCTGCTTGAAGCGGCGCTCCAGGGTCAGCACCTGGGTCTGTGAGAACAGCACGCGGGGTTTCCGCCGCTGCCGCGTCCTGGCCGCCTCCGGGTCGCCTCGGTGTACACTGTCGCCGCCGTTACCCGCACCGCGCTCCATCCTCGGGTTCCCAGCTCCAAGCGTGGAGGTCGCGCACGGGGGAGTGTCTAAAATCACGTGGAAGGAACACCATTAACAGCCAGCAACAGGCTCAGGTTTTTTTTCACTAACCAGCCCTCTCTCCCTGGCAGCCTTGACTGAGCGTCCCGCTGCCCTCACCCTTCTCTGCCCGCCTCCTCCCAGGCGGGTCTCAGTGCTCTTATTTTTCATATCTCTGTCGCTTTCGTACCCTCCAGAGCCTAAGTAAAATCTGGTAGACTGTGAGTCTTCGTTTCGCCAATTGTAGATTCGACATCAGGTGTGCTTATTTTCTTCAATTGTGTCTGGTAGTCCAAGAGTTTGAGGAACCTTAAAACGTGAGTGTGCGGGCCAATCAGAATGGGGCTGGACCTTAAACTTCATAAACACGATGCTCTACAGTACAAATTAAAAACAAGAGATTTCCTGAGCAGACTTAAAAACCCCAGCTCACACCTGGAGAAATCCAGGGACACCGAAGGGAACTTCTAAGGTCACCAAGCAAGTGCAAGCCGGGCAGGGTCAACATCCTTAAGAGGGATGGAATGGTTTAGATTCTGACTCTCAGCCTCTGGCCTGGTGCACAACTTCTGGGGAACTGGCTGTTGTTTAAATAAGTTTGAGAAGAGAAAAACATCCCCACCTCCGCCCCTGGGGTAAAGGGCGTCTGCGCAAAGAAACCATAGATACCTAAGATACCAAACGTGGAACCCGGGAGGGTTTGTTTCCTTTTAAAATTAAATGAGACTGACCTACAGCGATGCTGAACCCGCAAACAAGAGATTTCATCTGAAAGCAGCTGACTCAGCAAAGCCCCTCCCAATGGCTTAAAATTCGGGTTAGCCTGATCTACAAAGCCAGCTCCAGGCCAGTCATAGTTTCAAAGCTCCCATCAGGAAAAGAGCCCCCACCCAGGTAAATCCAAAAAGACAGTAGAAACTTGAACTGTAGATCTCTAAAACTATGTAAAAAATTTACTGTCTCAATCTGAGGTCATTCATGTTGAAGGAGGAAAATAAACCTGATTTATTAATGGGTGTCTGGGTCAGATAGAATTTAGCTATGATGGTAGGACAAACATCAAATGGCATTTTGCTTCCTTGGATTTCATTCTTAGACAATGAAGATGATCCCCTACGCCCACCTCCCAACCAGCTGACACACACTAAAGGTTAGATTCAGCTTAGTGAGATCCTATCTCAAAAATACAAAACACAAATAAATACATAAGAGTTAGCTTCCTGGACCCTCTGAGTCACAGTTGGAGGGCTCTGAGCCCTGCTTTCAAGAAGGCAAGAGTCAGATGGGGATGCATGTCACAGGTCCTGGTGAAGCCAACCAGATGGCCCGATCCCCTGACCGAAGGCCCTCAGGGCCAGGCTGGGGTGGGCCCAGTGTGGCTATCACCGTGGCAGAAGACAGGCTGCCAGGCAAGGGACGACATACTCAGGTGTGCCTGTGACTGGGATAGTGGGGGAGAGAAACCGCTATAGTCCTCAGCAAAGCTGAAAGGAGCTTCAAGTCAGCAGACCCACACCCAGGGAACCGAACGGTTAGTATCCACTGCAGAAAACCCACTGGTTTCTTTTTAAACAACAGAATGTCCAGGCTTCAGGAGGACGGGTGACAAACAGCCTCAAATCTGAGGGTAACTCGGAAGGTGTTCTTGTGGCTATGCCATGATTATATATGGTCTGTCTGGCTTGGTGAGAAAGGCTGGTTGTACCAAGCTACTCTCCTCCCCACCTCAGACTGGAGGTGGGAACATTCACCTGGCACACTGGCAGGGTGGGAGGACAGTGGCCATTTCATTCTTCCAATAGTAGGCCATTCCTGCCTATATATACCACCTGTGTTGTAGAGGCTTCCAGAACATAAAACTCCCTGTCTGTTCCTTCTCTTTCCACAAGGATAGGTTCCTGGGCCTCTCTGCTTGCACTTTGGACCAGATGGGCTAGGGTGCAGTTATTCTAAAATGCCAGGTCCACTTGGAAAGCAACACACACACACACACACACACACACACACGGGGGGGGGGAGAGGCACACTTGTTCTTCCCCTCTCATTTCTTCTAAGGAGAAATGTGTGTGTCTGTCTGTGTCCATGTGTGTGTGTCTGTCTGTCCGTGTCTGTGTCCGTGTGTCCGTGTGTCCGTGTGTGTGTGTGTGTGTGTGTGTGTGTGTGTGTGATTTCCTCCAGAAAGGTAAGGTTAGGCAGGCAAGGGCAGCAGTGATGGAGCATGAACTAAGTTATGGTAAAGAGGTTTTGTGGGGGAAAGAAGCTCTCCATACCAGGCTCCACTGGAATCATATCTTTGTGGTTGGCAGAGGGGCAGCTGTGGGAAGGAACGCCCTACAATTAAAGCCCTTAGGAGGCAGGACTAGGAGCAGGGAGACTGTCTTTTGGACTCATAAAATGAGGGAAGATAGGGTGGGACTCCGGAAGACTCTCTGCCGGTGACGACTCACTCCTTCAATAACGCCTGTAGAAAAGACCTGAGTGCATACTCACCTGGCTCCATCTCCACGACTGTCTCCCAGGGGCACCGATGAGGGTCTGAGCCAGCTTGTGCCCAGTCACCACCCTCTGACCCTCCAGATTCCGGGCCCATTGTTAGGTATTGAGGCTTTTCTAGGTTCTTAGGAAACTCCCATTGTGACCGAGTCTTGGCGTCGGCTTCGTTCGGCTCACGCTCCAACCTGAGAATGTGGTCTACGGAGAAGGGAGTGGAGGTGACCGGGCTCAGCAGCATCTCGGAGGTCTGGGCGGTGCGGAGCTGACAAGTTCTCCACCACTGCGAGGAGTCGCACATCCCTAACTTCCCCTTTTGTGAAGGCAGGCTCAAGCGACTCCTGGAAGCGCATTTAATGTCCAGGGCCGCACCTTCCTTTGGCCTTGTCTACAGACTGGGGGACCAGGACCGGGTGACAAAATTGCGGTCCTCCATTGGCTTCCACAGAAACCACGTGCTAATCCTGCACCTTCCTCCCCAGACGCTGGCCTAGGGGCTCTTCGGTTCGTCCTCAATCCCTCATCACCTTTTTGGGAGGATTGGTTCCTACTGACCCTTCTCAAAAACAAAGAAGACAAGTAGGGCGTGGCCTGTATCTGAAGTGGGTGCTGCGGGGAGCTTCCGAGGGCTTCGGACTGAGGGGAGGCTCTGAGAGGGTGTACCTGGAAGGAGCTAGCTCCGAGTTTCCAGCTCCGAGTTTCCGAGCAATCAGTCCATCTGGTTTTCCAGTACACACTGTCATGGCGAAGAAAAACCGAGGGATAGAGAGCTGGAGAACACCTAGGATATGAGATGCGAGGTGTGTGTGTGGGGGGTCTCAGCTGGTGCTAGAAGAATCTAGGGACACTTACGACTGATAAAGTCAGTGAGCAAGTTTTTTTAAGTCCAATATACGCAGCGCAGCGTGGACCTGTCACTTAACACGGAAGGGAAATTAAGGCTCAGAGGCTGGTGGTGCAGGGGAGCGGGGGTATTCCGGTTATTTTTGAGTATTTCTGGAATGGTTAGGAAGTAAGGTAAAATCTCACCCCAGAGAAACTTAGACATAAGTTCATCTCGTCTCTCCCCTGGTGTTTCTTCACCTTGTCTTTGCTTTAAAGCTTGTCTTGAGCCAACGTGTGTGAGTCGAAGTTTCGCCAGGTCTTAGCTCTTCAGAACAGCTCCTTGAACACAGCTTGGGCGGAGTACACAGCGCTTGGTGTTCGCGGTAGGAACACCGAGAGAGTGAGCAGATAAGGCCTTGGCTGTAGGGGCACAACGTGTGGGGTTTGGGACAAAGGGCGAACCTCTCTTATACTTCGTTTTCATGAGTTAAGGAGAAAGCAGCGTCCGCTGGAGGAATAAGCAATACACTGTATAATCAAGAATCCTCCAGCCACCCTGACTCATGCTAATGAGATCAAGAAAGCGGGATTCGGTGTTGTACTCCCAACATAGGATTAAAAAATATCGTTTAAAATAGAAAAAGATCTCACTAGAGATTTAAGGGAATTTCAGATCAAATGTTTTAAACCCGTCTTATGAAAATCCACGGTTATACGAGAGGTTTAGTTACTATTTCCTAAAATCCCGATGAGAACTCACCTCCCTCTCTCCTGTCAGAAAGCACAAAAAAAAAAAAATAAATAAAAACAAAATTATCTAGTGGAAAGGGAGGGGGAGGGGCTGCAAGCCCAGGTGAGGTCAGAGGCAACTTGAGAGCAGAGTCGATGGATTCCAGGGATCCATCATCTCGCATCTTTAGCCTGAGCCATCTCCCAGGTCTAGAGGATACAATTTTGAAACAAAAACTTCACGAAAATTTTCAGCAAACTTGGTTTTTCGTGACTAAGTAGTTGTAATAGTTTCATATACATATCATGCAATCTTTATGATGAAACTCTATGCCTCCAGATCTTTTCTTTTTCTAGTCAGAGACGCGGATGGGAGAGGGGAGGGGCAGGGAAGACTTCATGGTGGTCCTGTTTCTTCCTGGCCATTGTGCCCATAGCGTTTCCCCTCAAAAACCAATACTCCCTACCTTTTGCCCCAGGGATATTAAATTTTATGATACTCCAAACATCATGCTTTTGTTTTTTTATCATAAAATTATGTGTACTCCGGAAAAGTGGAAAAATAGGGGAGGAGATTGAAAACATCCACTCAGAAATAAGTCTTTTTTTTTGCATTGTTTAAATTTACATACTTATCCATTATAAATGAGTATATTTTCTGAGTATGATTCAACAATAAAATGTTTCACATTGCAAATGGATCTAAACAGAATGAGTTCATAATTTTAGTCTCTTTTAAAATCACCGTAAATAAAGCTTTATCTTTGTAGACGCTTTATTTCTTTATCCTCTGTGATATCCTCAGTGTACACATGTAGAGGAAACATTGAGACGTATTTTTTTTTAATGCGAATTAAAAACTTCTGGGACTTCTTGGAAAATTGTGCTTTTCCGCCTACTTCCCAGATATGCAGGGAAAGGCGTTCTGATAGAGGTTTACTCGGGAGCACTTCCGATGGCCCGAGGAATACTTGGGATTTTGAGGGTTGTGGGTAAGAGCTCCCCCAGGCGCTCCAGATATGCTGAGCTGGACCCAGCTTTCCTTGGTCTGGGGCGACCTTAAATCAAACTCTAAAGCCTGAAGCTGCCAGGGCTTTGTTATTCGCTGGAGGAGAAGATGCACCACTAAGAAATCTAGAAGAAAAAAATAATGCCTTGGGTTGGGTAGGACTTGAGGTTAACAGTCCTGAGTTCAAATACTTCGCTTTCCTAGTTTAATAAGATCATTACACGCTGTTTGAAACTTGAAAACGTTTTCTATCCGCTCAGAAATGGCGAAAAACATCCTTTTAAGGGAGAGCGCTGGTCAGGCTAGGGCTTAAGAGGTAAGCGCGCAGAGAAATCCCTAAGGCACCCTCCAAATCCTCGCCTGGCTCTTGGGGAGAGACCAGCATTGTGTTGCAGTGCAGGCGGGCACGGGAATTCGCAAAGCGGTGTTTTCTTTTCAGCTCTTTTTCACTGGACATTCGCTGGCCATCACCTCTCTCTGCTCAGGTCTGGAGGTTTGGAGTCCAACCGCCAATTAAATTAAGGCAGTTTAGCAGCTGCCCAACCCCACAGAAACGATGGGTGCACCTGGTCTGGTCTAGGGGTTCTTGAGTAGCACAACTGTGACAGAGTGGCGTGCACTCCCTGGCGTCCCTCACTCTTGTGTGGAGAAGACTTCCCCAGTGCTCTTCTCGTCACGTGCCAGGAAGGGGGAGTTCCAGACAGGTTTTTTTTTTTTTTTTTTTTTTTTTTTTTTTTGTGTGTGTGTGTGTGTGTGTAGCTTAGGCTGTCCTGGCACTCGCTCTGCAGACCAGGCTTGCTCCCTCCGGAGTGTTAGGGTTAAAGATGCTAGCCACCACCCCGTGACTGTGTTCTTAAAATTGGACAGGGATGGCTTTGTCTTAGGAGTGGGGATGGATGTGACCTGCTTCATCCAGATTACACAAACTAAAATTCAAACCAAAGGCTTAGCTTAGCTGCATATTTTTAGCACCTTCCTGGCCTTTTCTGCCCCAACAGGGAAGACTGTATATTATTATTATCAGCATTATTATTATTTTATTTTTATTTTATTGAGAAAAGTTTTGTTATTTTGTTCAGGCTAGTCTTGAATTCTTGGGCTTCAGCAACTCTGCTGCCTTCCCTCCTAGAGTGACTGAGACAACAGGTGCATGCCCCTGACTGAAACAGAAGACAGACTGAATCCCAAATTGTGTAACTTTGCATAACTTTATGAGATTTGTACGTAGTATTTATTGAGGCTCTTCTCACCTGTGAATAACATTCTCTTTCAACTCCTTCCTCCCTCTCCCTTCTTTTCTTCTTTTATCCTAGAAAATAGAACTGAGGGCTTAGAAAATCCTTCTACCCCTGGAGAGATTTTCAAATATAAGCCACAAAAGTCTGGTGGTCCTGCTACCGTGGGCCACCCTGGGCTTACAGGAAGCCTATGGTTTTTAACCTCTGGGTAGGATCTTGGTTGGGCTAGATGGATGCCTCATGGATTTGTTCTTGAAGCTTTGTCCTCAGGATATGGGCTGGATTGGTATAACTGTGATTATCTGTTGGATAAAGGTGTGGGCTTTGTTTGGCTGGTTACAATCTTTAGGTTAACCTGGGGAACAGCCACCCCCCCCCCACACCTGGAGAGACTGAATTGCTCCTTGCTTGCAGTGGCTTTTCACTTGTATTTTAATAAATAAAGCTTGCCTGAGGATCAGAAAAGTAAAACAGCCACACTGGCCAGTCTTACAGATCATGCAGCCATAACATATACCTTTAATCCCAGTAGCTACACTAGTTGCCATAGAAACCAGACAGTAGTGGTGCACACCCTTAATCCCAGAACTGGAGATGATTATAAAATGGGAGGAGACAGCTCTCAGTCTCATCCTTTCCGGGAGGCAGGAACATCATTTCCAGACTGAGGTTGAGGTAAGAGCCGGTGACTGACTGTTTTGCTTTTCTGACCTTCAGGTTGAACCCCAATTTCTGTCTCTGAGTTTTTATTAATTGTGCTACAGTTGCTGACACCCTGTTTTTGTGCATTTTTTTTGCCAAAATCCATTTCCTAATGCTAAAATAACATGATTATTTTAATATGTGGAACATTACTAAAGCCTAAACTGTGTACCAAATGGTGGCACTACATTTTTAACTCCTCTAATCCTGTTCCCCTTTCTTCCCGATTAGTACAGTCTCAGTTTCATTAATTTACCCTTTTCACACTTGTTTTGATATCACTAAACACAGGAACAAATGCACACATGTTTTCCTATTTTTAATTCTTTCAGATATTTTCTTGTAAAGACATTACTAGAGTGATACCAATGGGGTGTGTTGTTCTTGTTGTTTGTTCATTTGTTTGTTTTTTTCCTGAGACAAGGTTTCTCTGTAGCTTTGGAGCCTGTCCTGGAACTTGCTCTGTAGACCAGGTTGGGCTCGAACTCACAGAGATCAGCCTGCCTCTGCCTCCCAAGTGCTGGGATTAAAGGCATGCGCCACCACCTGGTGCAATGGGTGTTTTGTATCAGTGTACCCTGAAGGCCAGCTGTGTGGGAGTGCTGCTTCAGAGGGAGTGCTGCTTCAGAGCGCTTTCTGGTTGCCACAACAGTGCTGGAGAGGATGTTCTCTACCAGGCTATCTTTTGTTCAAAGTAAGTTATTCTACAGTTACTTAGGGTTTGGAGCCTCTCCTCCC